TCCCAGCTCCTTGGGAGGTTGAGGCAAGAGAATTGCTTAAGCCCAAGAATTTGAGGTTGCTGTGAGCTGTGACACCATGACACTCTAACCAGGGCAACATAGTGAGACTCTATCTCAAAAAAAAAAAAAAGAAAGAAAAGAAAAGAAAAGGTAGAATCTTGAAGCCCATTCTAGACCTACTGAATCAGAGTCTGCAACTTGCCAAGACCCCCAGGTGATTCCTATACACATTAAGGATTGAAGCGGCAGTGCTTTCCACACTTGCCAGTCAAGAGAATCTCTTGGTGTTTTGACATAGATTCCCAGGCTCCCCTTCTGGCAATATGGACTCAGAAGGTATAGGAGGATCCCAGAAATTGCTCCAACTAAGCCCCACCAGTGATTATTATGGTCAGGCCAGCCTGGGCAACTCCTGCTCGTTTACTTTGGTCCTGTGTTCCCTGGACAAGACCAAGTTGCAAAGCCAGAGAAAAACTTTTTGTTCCAGGATCATGACAAGGCAACTGCTGCTTCCCCAGAAACAGGAACTTGGGGAAGGTGGCTCCTCACTGGTCTGTGATGCCGTCAGAGGAAATGGGTGGTTGTGAGAACCACAGAGTCTGCAGACCGGGAGCTGGAGCTCCAAGGACCTTGCACCTGTGTCTTTGTGACAGACACAAAGAGCCTCCTAGGTCTTCTTCGCTGGCCCAGCTTTGCTCGGGAGGGCTTCCAGTCCCCCAGTCCAGAGTCCCCAAGGAGCATGGGGCTCCTCACCCTTCCTGGATGTACAGACTTCTGAGCACAGACAGATGCTGAGTTACCCAAACTGACTGGCAGAGCCTCTTATTCAAGATCCTCCCAAGCTGAGAGAGTTCTGGGTATACTAAGAGCAAGGACGTGGGCAGACTGCTGGAAGGGCCCCCCAAAGCTCTAACCTATCCAGCCAAAGCATGCATCTTAGCTGAGCCCTCTTCAAACCTCCCACGACAAGAACCAGTAAGTATACTTGCTTTTTGTTTTCTGATAGCCTCAAGACTAGTGAGGAAAAATGGTCCTCTCAGAGACTGGCACTGGGCTTTATTTGCTGCTAGGAAACAAGCTCGAGGAGAGAAAGTGGGTTTACTGAGGCTGTAAGAAGGGTGCTTTCTGGGGGTCCCAGAAGAATTGAGGTCTCCCCGCTCCACCTTTGCCTCCCTCTTACTGTGTGCCTTTGGGCCCTGTTCTGTGCTGCAGTGTTCCGAAGTCAGCGAATGAAAGGGGATTATACTCTCGGAAGACACATCAGCTGCAGAGTCTATAATTCCTTTCAAAGAATGATATCTCTCAGTCAGAAAAGAGGTCACAAATTTAATCCACATTCATCACTCTTATGCTTACTGCTGAAAATGATCTTCAGAAGCACAAAACACAGCGGTAGTCCCAGCTCTGTACTAACCAGCTACGTGAGGTTGCATGAGGCCATAAACATGAGGTTGTCCTCTCAGGGCCATGGTCATTGTATCTGAAGTGAGACTCCAGTGAGATGATCAATTACAAGTTCTGGACAATGTGCCGATGTCAGCTGCCTTTCACTCTTTCCTACCACCCCCTGGCACAGGTCCCCTAGAAAGTGCCAAGCACATAGTAAGTTGTTCAAATATTCGTATAGTTGATGATTAAATTATCTCGTAGATGTGTGTATTTTATATATATAAAGCTTCAGCCAATACCTCCTCCTCCAAGGCCAGCGCACTGGATGGTCTTTATTTTGGCCCCAGGGTCTTACTGGCCTCAACTCAGATCATGTGAAGGGAGGGAACAGAGAGTTCTGGGGAGGTTTCCAGCATCAGGGATGGGGAACCTACAGCCTTCTGATTTCATGATTGTTCTTTAAGAAGCGCCAAAAGTGGCAAGAAAAGTTTCATCTTTCTCTGCTAAGCCCTTTTTAATGAAAGGATTTGTTATGTAAAATTTGGATTCAGTCAAAAGGCTGCACTTAAGACTGGGAAGACCACAAGTTTCCTTAAGGCCGCAGGTTCCCCACCCCTGGCAGGCCCAACCCCACCTCCACCTGCAGCAGGAAGAAGTCTTTGGGTTTTTGTAGTTGGTAGTTGTGGTATTGCTGAAGGAGGGGAAAGGAAACTGAGCTTTACTGAGCACTCTGTGCCAAACTCCTCTAATTGAACTCACAATCCTGTGGAGTTGCTATTCACATTCATAGATGAGATTCTGAAAGCTTACCTGCTTTGCCTAAGGTCACACAGCTCGAACCTGGTTGATCTGAAGTCATCACTCATGTTACCCAAGGTAGATGTTCTCTCTCTGGGATTTCCTGGGGGCTCGTATCTGCAAAGTTAAGCATTTAGTCTGTGCCTCCACACAAGGGTCAGGGAAAGGCTGAGAGGCCACAGGAATATTGGCAACTTGAACTGAAGGGGTGCCCTAGCATCAAGGGAATCAGAAATCCCCTTGGGAGGCAGTAGCACCATCTCAGTCCTACCAAGGGTGCAGGACCCCAAAAGCCTGAGCAGGAAGAGGCTTTCAGAAGCCACTTCCTATGGGGGTTAAGGAGCTTCTTTCCAGATGAATACTGAGTTTTATATTCCAGATGAATACTGACCTCCCATAGAGAAGCAGCAATAAGCAGGTATTGTCATTCCCATTTGATGACATGAGACTGAAGAACAGAAAGAGTGCTCAGGACTGGCCCAAGAGGCCATAGCAGTCATGCCATGATATTGATGGACACATGTCCTCCTTCAGTCAGCATGGGGTTCAAGGGCAAGCATGATGTCCTCCTCCCTGGACTCCCAGCCCTTGGCAGGTACCTGGCAGAGAGCAGGGACTCAATGAATACCAGTGAATGGAACTAAGTGTGTAACTGTGCCTTGTCTCTACTGAAAAGGATGAAACCATCTCAAAAGAAATGTAAAACTCAGCCCCCCATTCTGCAAACACTGTAATATAGTGTTTGAGAAAATTAGCCTTACCCTGAAAACCTGGGTATTTATTCTAAGGATAAGACACCCGTCCAAAGAGGTGATCATTGCTTTGGTTCACTTAGTTACTGTGTGCTGACTACTGTGTGCTTAGTTACTGTGTGCTGTGTAGTGAAGCACTACACTACTAGTGTTGTGCTTCACTGAGTGCTAAGGAGAAAGGCAAACCAGAGGTCCTGTCCTTACACAGCTGTAGGACAATGGCAGATGAAGCAAGTAAACGCTATAGGAAATGAGTAATTAAAACTTAGAAAAAGATACAACAGGCAGCCAAGAGATAAAAAGGGGAGAAAAAGGAGGAGACTCCCAGGAGGAGCCAGCCTCTAACAAAGTGTCATTCAGGACAAGATGCAGGAAATTCAGCCAGCTGGGCTCCTCATGCACGTTATCTCAAAGACCATATGTTGGGGGTTGCTATCCCCATTTTTCAGACTAGGGAAAGGAGGCACAGAGAGGGGAAGTGGCCCAGCCACCAACACTTGAGGGCTTGCAAGTCATAATACCATCATCCAGCCTTGTGGCACTCCGTGACGCCAATAACATTGTGTTCTGTGCCACCTTTGCTTGCTGTGACACCAGCTCTCACACCTGCCCTAGTGCCCTCGCCATCCTGAGACCCTAGCCATGGGCCCTGATATGCCTCACTGATCCGCCACTGTCCTCTTTCTCCCAGTGGCAAAGTGAAATCTCAGGTGAGAGGAAGAGTTCCATGTGGAACTCCAAGGAATTCAAGGGAGTGGTCAGCAAAGGCTGGGACATGGGAAGAGCTTCCTAGGGAAGGGCAGTATCCTGACAGGCCCTAAGGGGAGGAAAGGGTATTCCTGCCACAAGAGGGGACATAAGCAAAGGCCTAGAAATAAAGAATTTAGCCTGGATGTGGCATAGAAAAGATGGGATCCAGGTAGCCAGGAGCCTCCAGTCTGGTAGGGGGCTTGAGTCTAGTCCTGATGGGAAGTGCGTCATATGTGTCAGCAGGAGATCTTCTGGGCCAAGGTGGGGAGGGATGGGTGTCTGGAGACCAGGCCAGGGGCCAGGGCTCAGTCTCCATCACAGCATCTCTTTCAGATTTCTCTTGGCAATGTGCTTCCGAGTGCTCTGCTGAGGAGCAATGGGAAGTCTGCCCAGCAGAGGAAAAATGCTGCCAAGCTCAAGCTCAAGCCCTTCTGTCCGAGGCCAGGACCCTGCACCCATGCAAGCAGGTAGGCTGTGGGCCCTTCCCAGGCACAAGGTTGTGCAGTCCTAGACATCACTGCCTCTGTGGGCCTTCCTGGCTAGCAATCCTAAAACAGCATCAAGTATCAATGAGTGCCTGCTGTATACCAGGCCTTTCCTAGTGAGTCATATAGGCAGCATCCCAGCTCTTGCAGTGATTGCATTAGCCATAAAGACAACTAGATCAATGAGAAAAATCAGACAAAGTGATAAGCACTAACCAGAATGTTAGACTAGGAAGGCCTGATAGTCTGTCCCTGTCGTCTCCTTTGATATCTCTCCTCCTCAGCTTATTCAGAGGCTAAGCTAGCCAGCTTCACCATGTAGCTCTCCATAACTGCACAGCCCATTACATAGCCACTAGCCACAGGCACTTGTTCAAAAGTTTTAAAATTCTATTCCTTCATCATACCAGCCACGTTTCAAGTACTCAGTAGCCACATGTAGTTAGTGGCTACCTTATTGGACAGCACGGAATTTTGGAACATTTCCACTGTTGCAGAAAATTCTACTGGACAGTTTAGACAATAGGGCTGATGTGAAATACTGAAGTAAAAGTAAGGCACTCTCTCTCTCTCTCTCTCTTTTTTTTTTTAAACATGGGGTCTCACTCTTACATCCATGCTGGAGTGCAATGGTGTTATCATAGCTCACTGGAACCTTGAATGCCTGGGACCAAGTGATCCTTCTTCCTCAGCCTTCTGAGTAGCTGGAATTATAGGTGTTATCTGCCACACTGGATAATTTTTTTTTAATTTATTTTTATAGGGATGGGGTCTTCCTGTGTGTCCCAGGCTGGTCTTGAACTCTTCACCTCAAGCTATCTTCTCACTTTAGCTTCCAAAAGGGCTAGGATTACAGATGTGAGCTACTGCACCAGGCTTAAAATTAGGGCTCTTTTGGGTGGTGTCTGTGGTTCAATGGGTAGGACACCGACCCCATACACCGAGGGTGGTGGGTTCAAACCCGGCCCTGGCCAAACTGCAACAAAAAAACAGCCGGGTGTCATGGTGGGCACCTGTAGTCCCAGCTACTCAGGAGGCTGAGGCAAGAGAATTGCCCAAGCCCAGGAGTTGGAGGTTGCTGTGAGCTATGTGATGCCACAGCACTCTACCAAAGGCGATAAAGTAAAACTCTGTCTCAAAAAAAAAAAAAAAAAAAAAAGTAGGGCTCTTTTAATAGGGGGAAAATCACTCATACAATGCATATACTGAGCCCATAACTATGATTTTCTATGATAGTCTTGATGAAAACTCCCAGATTTTAGGACAATTGGACAATTAAAATATCCTAGAAATTCTAGTATTTTGATATTAAAATTGTGGCTCCAAGTCTGAATTATTCTCTAAAATAGCCTACAAATCTATTCTCAAATCACGTCTTGATTTGGGATTTGGATAATATATTAAGGCTTTCCAGAAAAATAGCACCAGTAGTGCATGTGTTTATGGAGGGAGAGAGGGAAATTGATTTTAAAGAGCTGACTCACATGATGATGGGGCTGCAAGTCTAAACCCCAAAGGGCAGTCTGGGAAATGCCGCTGTGGTGGTCTGCAGGTGGAACTCCCTCTTCTTCCAAGGACCTCAATCTTGTTCTCTTAGGGGCTTTAACTGATTGGACGAGGCCCACTCTCATGATGGAGGGTGTTCGGCTTTACTCAGTCTACCTATTTAAATGTTTTGTTTTGTTTTGTTTTGTTTTGAGACAGAGTCTCTCACTCTGTCGCCCTGGGGTTGAGTGCCGAGGTGTCATAGCTTACAGCAACCTCAGACTCCTAGGCTCAAAGGATTCTCTTACTTCAGCCTCCCAAGTAGCTGGGACTACAGGTGCCCACCACAATGCTCAGCTGTTTTTTAGAGACAGGGACTTGCTCTTGCCCAGTCTGGTCTCAAACTCCTGCTGTTCAAGCAATCCACCTGCCTCAGGCTCCCAGTGTGCTGGGATTACAGGTGTGAGCCACAACATCTGGCCTCTATTTATTTTTTTGAGATGGAGTCTCACTGTGTCGCCCTTGATAGAGTGCCGTGGTGTGAGGCAACAGCAACCTCCAACTCTTGGGCTTAGGTAATTCTCTTGCCTCAGCCTCCCGAGTAGCTGGGACTACAGGCGCCCACCACATCACTTGGCTATTTTTTGTTGCAGTTTGGCTGGGGCTGGGTTCAAATCCGCCACCCTCGGTATATGAGCCCAGCAGCATCCTACTCACTGAGCCACGGGTGCTACCCTGAGACAGCCCCTGGGTAGAGTTCCATGGTGTCATAGCTTGCAGCAACCTCAAACTCAGGCTCAAGCAAACTCTTGCCTCAATTTTTCTAATTTTACTAGAGAGGGGGGTTTCACTTTTGCCCAGGCGGGTCTCAAACTCCTGAGCTCAAGCAATTCACCTGCCTCGGCCTCCCAGAGTGCTAGGATTACAGGCATGAGCCACTGCGCCTGGCCCCATCTGCCTCTATTTAAATGTTAATATCATCTAAAAAATATCTTCACTGCAACATCTAAACCGGTATTAGACCAGATGTCTGAGTACTGTGGCCTAGCCACAACGACACATGAAATTAACCATCACAGATAACAAAATCTTTCTATTTCATAGTTTATTTACTTCCTCCCTTGGATAGAAGCTGGTGACTGCACTTCATAGGGACCATGTGTGAGCTTTGTTGCCGTAACTGGTTAAGTCACCTAAACTCATCAAAAGTTGAAAGTTTTCCATTTGAGGCTAAGCATAGTGTTGGTGGCTCAGTTAATCCTGGTGCTTTGAGAAACTGAAGTGGGAGGGTCAGTTGAGGCCAGGTTGTTGAAAGCAGACACTGGACAACATAGTGAGACTCCATTTTCTTTCTTTCTTTCTTTTGAGAGTTTCACATTGTTGCCCCTGGTAGAGTGCAGTGGCATCATAGCTCACAACAAACAAACTCTTGGGCCCAAGCAATTCTCTTGCCTCAGCCTCCCAAGTAGCTGGATCTACAGGCACCCCCAACAATGCCCAACTATTTTTAGAGACAAGGTCTTGCTCTTGCTCAGGCTGGTCTCAAACCTGTGAGCTCAGGCAGTCCACTTGCCTCGTCCTCCCAGGGAGCTAGGATTACAGGCTTGAGCCACCACACCCGGCCCAATTTTCCCATTCTTATCAGAGAATACCCTCCACAAGACTTGGATCAGATATTTCCCTGCACCACCAGATGGCCAGGCCTTATGCTGCAAGGACAGCTCAGAGGAGAGACTTGGGGAGCTCTGAGCTGGGTTCCCTACAGGAGTCTCCATGCATGTCTGGAAGGATGTGTAGGAAATGGTCCATTTCCAGAATCAGTCTCACCATTCCCATGTGGCAGAGGCTCTTCAGCCACATGATGTCCAAACTCTTGGTTCTTGTCTGTCAACTTGCCTCTACCTCCCCCACATCCTGAATTTCCAGCTCCACCTAGAGGGCATCCCGGAGTCCCCTGAGACCTTGTTTCTTTGGAAGCATCTGAGACAGATGAGCCTATCCCCAGGTCCACCAGTGAGTGCGTTGCTATGTGTACAAGTCTCTTCCAGAGACTCTTACTGAAAAAGGACAGGAGGAAGGAATGGGAGGGTTAGTGGGCTCCAGTAAAGTTGCTTCTAGCAGCACATTTTTCAGACCCAGAAGGCTTTGGCAGACAGAGGGAGGTCTTTTTAGACTGGGTGGGCTGATCCCTGAGGCAGTTGAGGTATGTGAGTCCTGTGCTGACGGCACCACTTGCTGCGTGATGCCCAGCCTTGAAATTGGGCCTCGTGGCCACTGTGTCTCTGGGACTGTTCCCAGAGTGGCTGGGACCTAGGCCAGTCACTCCCTGCCTGACCATAAGCCTTGGAAGGGTATTCAAGCCCTTCCTGAGATGTGCCTGTAGGACGAGGTTTGGGCCTAAGAGCTATGCCCTCATTTCCCAGCTGAGTGCAGTCAGAGCCACAATGCCACAGCATGGCAGAGACACAACTACCTCAGGCAGTGGTGAGGGCTGAGCAGAGGGGTGCACAAAGCCCCCTCAGCAAGCAATGGCAGGTGGCTGACCAGAACATGTAGTCACACACACATGCTGAGTATCTGCCCAGGGCCAGTCCTGAAACAGTGGGCTCGGGGTGGCACCTGTTCTCAGGAGCCAGCACAGGTCTACACCTGCTGTTCTGGACAAAGGCCATGGGGAAGCCACTCCTTCCATGTGCACAGCACTCGAGAGTTATAAAGCTCATTCACATCTGATTTCATGGGCCCCTCCAGAAGCCTGGAGAAGGGGGAGATATAAGGAATGTGGGAGCAGCGGGTTTCCATGTGGAAGGGAGGATGTCTTCAGCCCCCTCCCCATACTGCATGCTGGTGCTCTCATGATCCTCACAGGCCCACCCTAAAGTCACTGTGTGACTTGGGATCTAGGACCCAGCTACTGGCCTTTCTGAGCTTCCTCTTTCCCACCTTCCAAAGCTAGCACCTGTCCTATGAGGCTGAACTCAGGTCTGTGCTGATACCCACTTAGAGCCATAGGTTTTAAGTTTTCTAAGAGCAGGATCTCTTTGTAAAGTCTCTGTGAAGAGCAATACATTAAATGGCATTATAGCCAGGAGCCCCAGTCCTTTTGCTACATAGATCCTTTCTCTGCAGCAACCCCAGAGCTGCCTGGGCATTTCCAGGGCCCTGCAGAACCCTGCTGGGAAAGCCTCAGATTCCAGGGTAGCCATCCCAGGAAAGAGGTAGGCTTCCCTCAGGGCATTTGTGGGAGGAATGACTACCAGAGCCAGACTCCAGTAGATGTCCTGTTTTCTGTCCTTCCATCCAGAGAGAAGCAAGGCTGCCGTGGCCCTGGGCAGTTTCCCTGCAGGTGGGCAGGCTGAGCAGTCACTGAGACTGGGGGAACCATTGACCATCCTCTCTGAGTAAGTCAGCGGGCACTGGATCCCTGAAGACACACTGATGGGAGAAAGGGCCATCGCCCCAGTAGAAAAGTACAAGGCTTTTGGTGAAGTGCCCCCATGTGATCCTGTGATTGGATTTCTGGCAGTTTGGCACACCATTACTGAGAAGTGGTGGATGTGCATGCCTTGCTGTAGCAGAGAGCCTTGAATCATGCTATCTCCCAGCAGCCCCAGCCTGGCCCAGGAGGTGCCAGGACTGGCCAGTCCAAGGAAGCCTGGGAAACAGGTGGCCACAAGACCAAGCCTGAAAAGGTCCTTGTAAACTCCAAATGTGCAGTTCCTAGGGCCTTGGCTCTTCTGAAAGAGGTGCCTCCTCTTCTCTCTCTAGAAATGGAGACTGGTGGACAGTGCTGTCAGAAGTCTCAGGCAAAGAGTACAATATCCCCAGCGTCCAGGTGGCCAAAGTCTCCCATGGGTAAGTTCTCACCACAGACCTGCTTAGGGAGCTTCCTGCCCTCTCCTCCATAAGCATCTCCCTCATGCTCAGCCCGGCAGTGAGCAAAGCTGGGCACCAGGAGAATCCAGCCCAGGTCCTGCCTGCAGGAGGAGCAGATACCTCATTCTAACACAGATTGGCCTGGAGACTCAGGAGCCCAGAGGAAGGGTTGGGGAAGACCCTCTAGAGCATCAGTCCTCAACCTTATTGGTTTCATGGGAGACAGTTTTTCCAGACTGGGGTAGAGGGGATGGTTGGGGTTTTACTAGGTTTTTTTTTTTTTTTTTTTTAGAAACAGAGTCTCACTTTATTGCCCTCAGTAGGTGCTTTGGCGTCACAGCTCACAGCAACCTCCAAAATCCAGGGCTTAGGCAATTCTCTTGTCTCAGCCTCCAGAGTAGCTGGGACTACAGGCACCCTCCTCAACACCCGGCTACTTTTTTGTTGCAGTTTAGCTGGGGCCGAGTTGGAACCCACCACCGTCAGTATATGGGGCCGGTGCCCTACCCACTGAGCCATAGGCCCTGCCCTTTGTTTTGTTTTGTTTTGTTTTGTTTGAGACAGAGTCTCAAGCTATAGCCCTGGGTAGAGTGCTATGGCATCACAGCTCATAGCAACCTCAAACTCTTGGGCTTAAAGCAATTCTCTTGCCTCAGTCTCCCAAGTAGCTGGGACTACAGGTGCCCACCACAACACTCGGCTATTTTTTGGTTGTAGTTGTCATTGTTGTTTGACAGGCCCAGGCTAGATTTGAACCTGTCAGCTCCGGTGTATGTGGCTGGTGCCCTAGCCGTTGAGCTACAGTTGCCGAGCCAAGGGGATGGTTTTGATACGAGTCTGCAAGCAATTGATTTATTGTGGTTTCTGTGCAGTCAAACCTCCCTGTTAATGATAATCTATATTTGCAGTTGCTCTCCAGCACTAGTATCACTGCCTTAGCTCCACCTTAGATCATCAGGCATTAGGTTCTCATAAGAAGTACAACCTAGTTCCCTTACATGCACAGTTTACAGTAGCAGGGCTCTCACTCCTATGAGAATCTAGTTCTGCCACCACCAACCTGACAGGAGGCAGAGCTCAGGTGGTGATGGGAGCCATGGGGAGTGGCTATAAATACAGATGAAGCTTCAGCGGGACCCAGTTCCTATCAGGTCATGAACCAGTACTGGTCTGTGGCCCAGGGGTTGGGGCCCTAGCCCTACAGGACATGTTAAGGTCTGGGATTTGAAAGGTGGCCAGGATCTGGTGGAGGAGAATGCTGAGAGGGACATGGCCAGAGAAGGAAGCAGTCTGCGTAAATGTCTACAGGCAAGAAAACCAGAGGGGCCATTCTTAGCAGGTGAAGTCTTAGAAAGGAGAGTGGGTAGAATGGGGTGCTGGGTGGTAGGGCCTGGGTAATTACAGGAGAGAGGCTAGAAACACCCTCCCAGAACCCCACCCCACCCCACCCAGGACACTTGAAAATGAGGTTTCCAAGCAAAAAATGTAGAGGGTAAAACCATGAAGATGTCCTCCCAAGATCCTGGGGCCAGGACCAGAAGGATAAAGCTTGAGTGGACCTCAGAGACCCTGAGGCCAGATAGAACTTTGAAGGCCCAGAGAGGGGAGGCCTTGGTAGGGTCACACAGGGAGTGGAAGTAAGGTCCCCCTGACCCACCACAGCTGATCCCATCTCTCTCTCTTGTTCCTCTTCCAGGTGGCTCTATGAGGGCCTGAGTCGGGAGAAGGCTGAGGAACTGCTGCTGCTCCCGGGGAATCCTGGAGGGGCCTTCCTCATCCGGGAGAGCCAGACCAGAAGAGGTGGGTGAGCTCAGCCCCATCCCATGCCCTCCCTAAGACCTCAGAGAAACAGCCCACAGATCCCCTAGAGAATAGACTATACCTCTCTCCTCAGCCAGTCGGTCAACCACAACATCCTGAGCCCCAGCTCTATGCCCAGCCTGTATGGGCTGTGTGGGCCCCAGGAGGGGGGAAAGAGGGACAGGCTGTGAGGACAGGGAAGACAGCTAACTCTGGAGCAATCAAGGGAGGCTTCCTGTGGGAGTGGACTATGAATGGAAGCTTGAAGGATGTTCCCGAGCCTAGGCTGCGAAACACAGTAGTGCTGGGATGGGCCAGTGGGCTGTACCAGGGGACAAGAGGTCAGGAGAAGCAAGCAAGGCCCCACCCAGAGGGCCTTGAATGCCAGGCTGAAAAGCTCTGATGTTTTTCCCTAAAGTAGTAGGAGTTGTTACTTGTCAGAAAGACATGGTTAGTGCTGTGTGTTGAGTTGGGATGGGGGGGAATGAAATGCTGCAATACCCCGTCTCTCTAAGTGTGTATGTTCTGTGGGCCATTTGCTTAGAGATAGAGCAGATGGGAAGGTCAGTTTGGGGAACACCACAAATCATATCCTTCCCTGAGAGAGTAACAATCCATGGTAATCCAGCCTTCTTAGTGCTTTGCCTTTGTCTGTTGAGGCATTTCCCAAACACATTTTTTATTTTATAGAGATTGGGTCTCACTATGTCACCCAGGCTAGAGGACAATGGCGTCATCATAGCTCACTGTAAGGTCGAATGCCTGGGCTCAAGCAATCCTCCCACCTCAGCCTTCTAAGTAGCTGGGACTACAGCCATGTGCCACCGTGCCCAGCATCCCAAACACTTTGAACACAGGAACTTTTCATCATGCAGCACCCAGTAATGACGCCCAGCTGTCATTGTTTTTGGCAGGCTTGGGCTGGATTTGAACCCGCCACCCTAGGTGTATGTGGCTGATGCCTTAGCCACTTGAGCCACAGGCGCCAAGCCTAAAAAAAATGTTTCTCAAGTACCTATTATGTGGAAAGGCTTTAGGGAATAGCACCTATTATGTGCGCCAGGTCTTAGGTACCTCTGGTGAATGAGGTAGCTATGGTGCTTGCTCTTGGGGAGCTTCCAGCTCACTGGGTACAGTGTTCCTTGGCACATTCTTCGGGAAACAGAACTATTTGAGATTTGTATCAATGCCAGGGCTTTTCCCCTGAATGCTAAGAGCCAAGTGTAATATGACTTCGGGCTGGGTATAAGAGGCCAAATATGAAGGGCTAGAGTACCTAGCCTTGGTATTGGACCATCTGTCCTGAGAGCCCATCAGCAATAGAGCAAAAAGTCAGCATTTCTAACAGTCAACATAAATGGTTCACATCAGGGATCCAGGCTTAGCCAACTTTTAGGACTTGTTTGTTTGTTTTTTTGAGACAGAGCCTCAAGCTGTCACCGTGGGTAGAGTGCCGTGGCATCACAGCAACCTCCAAGTCCTGGGCTCAAGCGAGTCTCCTGCCCTGCCTCCCAAGTAGTTGGGACTACAGGCTCCTGCCACAATGCCCGGCTATTTTTTGGTTGCAGCTGTCATTGTTGTTTGGCAGGCCCAGGCTGGATTCAAACCCGCCAGCTTAGGCGTATGTGGCTGGCGCCTTAGCTGCTTAAGCCACAGGCGCCGAGCAGGCAACTGGGACTTGTAATAGTTACAGGATTTACATATCCTGACTAGCAGGCCCCAAGTTGTGGGAACATGCCAAATTACATATTCATATGGGACTTCTCTTGCCCAGGTGCAAGGCCTTTGCAAGCAAAACACAAAGTTGATAAAGTCTCTCTCTGATGGCCCTACTCTCCTCTGAGCTGCTACCACCAAGTTCCTTGAAGGAGGGACAAAGCAGGAAGTTGAAGGAAAAGTGGCAGTGCCCATGTTTGTGTTAGTCTCTTTATTTAGAGATGAGGTCTTGCTGTCTCCCAGGCTGGAGTACACCGGCACTATGCTGGCTAATTTTTTTTCATTTTTTTATTTTTTGTAGAGACAGTCTCACTTTATTGCCCTTGGTAGAGTGTCGTGACGTCACATAGCTCACAGCAATCTCCAACTCCTGGGCCTAGGTGATTCTCTTGCCTGAGCCTCCCAAGTAGCTGGGACTACAGGCGCCTACCACAATGTCCAGCTATTTTTTTTTTTTTTTGAGACAGAGTCTCACTTTATCGCCCTTGGTAGAATGCCGTGGTGTTACAGCTCACAGCAACCTCCAACTTTTGGGCATAAGTGATTCTCTTGTCTCAGCCTCCCGAGTAGCTGGGACTACAGGCGCCTACCACAATGTCCAGCTATTTTTTTTTTTTTTTGAGACAGAGTC